TGCGGTTAGAGCGTAAAGATGGAAACGCGAAAACGGCGTTTCAAAATTTTCCCACTCTGAAGGCTGAATAAAAAAAAGGTTGTTTACAGACCCCCGAAACGCCGGCTTCGTGTGGACGGGGCCTTAGTGATTCTCACAGCTTCGATGGGCCTATTTCAGTAAGGATTGCTACAAGGATTTTCCACAACCTAGTGGTCTCATTTTTTGCAGCAAACTCTTCAAGTGACCCTTTTGTTTGTAATTATGTATTCATTCTTATTAATAATAATAATAGTCCGTCCGTCCGTCCGTCCGTCCGTCTGTCTATCTATCTCATTTTTTGCCGCAAACTCTTCAAGTGACCCTTTTGTTTGTAATTATGTATTCATTCTTATTAATAATAATAATAGTCCGTCCGTCCGTCCGTCCGTCCATCTGTCTGTCTATCTATCTATCTATCTATCTATCTATCTATCTATCTATCTATATCTATCTATCGGTCAGGATACAGGTACAGTAGGAAGACGAGCAGGCTTTCACTTCTTTTAATGCTGGGCTAAGCATGTTTATTTCCCCTCAATGCTCATTGTTGGCAGTAGTCTGCAATAACAAATGAATTGCCATTAGGTGAAATATATTACAACAGTCGTGGTTTAAACCAAATAAACTCAAATATATTAATAACAAAAATTTAAACATCCATCTTATGAAAACATATTTCCCGAACATAATAAATCTAACTGAAACTGTGTTGTGTTCTCATCAACAAAATAGATGGGGAAAACAGTGTGCTGTTTGGGGAACTTTAATGGTTACTTGAAAAGATTCATAACTTATACAGCCTTCATTCCTATAGCTATACATTGTATCACTACGCGCAGTTCGCGACTAATTACTGCCATATTACTACACAGAAAATAGTTCCTTTTAAACACAACAACTCCTCCCTTCTAGCTTTGAAGTACACTAGAAAAGCTATAATCTATGCTACATATTCTTTTTCTGTGTTCCTCTTTACTAAATAAAACTAAAAGTTTCAAATTACAGTCGCTTTGGGATAACTCAAAATTAACACTATCAATTAACTCACTTATCCTTTAAGTACTTAACCTAAGCTGTATCTTTTCAACTATCTAAACTAGGCTATGACTCTAATCTCTGTGGAGGATGTCGCTCTCATTCAGGATATCGCCTTTCTGGTACATCCAGAACAGGTCTGGAAGAAGCAGCTGGGCTATCCGTTCCTGGAGCAGTCTCTGCATTCGGTTCATCTGGTGGTTCTTCCAGGGGTTCGTCCGGTGGGTCACCAGGTGTGAAGTCCTCAGAACTGTCTGCACAGTCTGTATCACGGGATTGGTCATTACTGGTGGAGTGACGGGTTCTAGCGTCCAGTAACTGATCCACATGTCTGCGCCAGATCAGTCCAGGTGGTACTCTCACCGTGTAAGTAAGTGGGCCCGTTTTGGAAACTATCTCACCAGTTTGCCACTTCTGATTCCAATGACAATAATCTCTGGCAAGTACGGGCTGGCCCTCATGGAAGGTTCTCAAGGGTAATTGCTTTTTCATCAGACTGCTTTGTTTCTTTAACACGTCCCGGTGCAGGTCTGGCTTTAGAAGGTCCAGACGGGATCTTAAGGATCTCCCCATGAACAGCACGGATGGTGTCTGACCTGTTTTGGAATGTTCTGTGTTGCGGTACGACAACAGGAAGTTGGCCAGTTTCTCTGATATGGACAATTTGGTGTTCGCCATGGCTTTCATGGATTGTTTGAAGGTCTGGACGAATCTCTCTGCAAGTCCATTTGTTGCAGGGTGAAATGGCACGGTGGTAATGTGCTTAATTCCATTTCCCTTCATGAACATCTGAAATTCCTCTGAAGTAAACTGGCTACCGTTGTCACTAACTAGCTGCTGTGGCAGTCCAGCACGAGCAAACAGAGTACGAAGAGCTTCAGTCGTCACTGCTCATGTGGCATTCTTCACAGGGAACACTTCATACCATTTAGAGTATGCATCGACAACCACTAGAAACATTCTGTCCAGAAAGGGACCTGCGAACTCTCTGCCACACAGTTGAAGGTTACTCCCAGGTGTGTGGTGGAGCTACCTGTGGTTAACGCTGAGTTTGCAGGCATCCCAAAGCATGACTTTATCATGTCTTTAATCTCGTGGTCAATGCCAGGCCACCAGACATGGCTTCTGGCCAGGCTTTTCATTTTAACCACACCTTGATGTCCATCGTGAAGAGACTCTAGCACTCTGTTTCGAAGCTTTGGTGGTATGATAACTCTGGTGCCCCACATCACACAGCCTTGGCATATGGACAACTGTTCTCGTCGTTTTGCATACTCAGGTAGGTCTGGATTACCCTTCCGAGGCCACCCCTTCACCGTCAAGTCGTAAACTCTCACCATTGTGGGGTCACAACTCGTTTCCCTCTTCATCTCCAGGAAAGTGACAGGTAAATTCTCCATCTGCGTCATGTGAAAAAGGTCAGCTGGATCTGAAAACACAGACGTGCCACCTGACTCGAGGGGAAGGCGAGAAAGGCCCTCTGCATTTCCATGAAGCTTGGTGCCTTTGAACTCAATCGTGTAATCATGAGCTCCTAGAAAAAATAACCATCTCTACAGATGTGCCGCCATCATGGTAGGGACGGACTTGCTGGGGTTGAAGATAGCCACTAGAGGCTGATGGTCGGTTATCAGTGTGAAGTGTTTACCATACAGGTATTGGTTAAACCTCTTAACCCCCCAGACTAAGCTCAAACCCTCACGGTCAATTTGGGCATAGTTCTGCTCAGCTTTGTTCAAAGACCTGGAGGCGAAGGCAATAGGCCGTTCAGAGCCGTCCTTCATCTTGTGGGAAAGCACAGCGCCAATCCCATATGGTGATGCGTCACAGGCTAAACGAAGTGGCAAATTTGGGTTGTAGTGCGTCAGCACTTTCTCTGACGTTGTCAGTTGCTTTGCTGCCATGAACGCCTGTTCGCACGACTTCGTCCATCTCCATACAGTTTTCACTTGTAACAGACTGTTCAATGGATGTAACACCGTTGCGATATTTGGCAAAAATTTGGCGTAATAATTGACAAGGCCCAAAAAGGAGCGTAACTGACTGACATTCTCGGGCCTGGGTGCCTTCAAGACTGCATCCACCTTATCTTGTGCCTTGTGAAGACCATCTTTGTCGATCTTGTGACCGCAGTACTCAATTGAGTCCTTGAAAAAGTCACATTTTTCTTTGTTCACTCTGAGTCCAAAGTCTGAGAGCCTCTTTAAGACTGTCTCAAGGTTGGTCAGATGTGTGTTTTCATCACTGCCTGTCACAAGAATATCGTCTAAATAGCACTGAGTGCCAGGGATGTCTTGAAGACCTTGGTCTATGGCTCTTTGCCATACAGCAGGGGCTGACGCTATCCCAAAAACCAGACGGTTATATTGAAACAACCCCTTATGGGTGTTAATGGTTAGATATTTCTTTGATGAGTCTTCCAACTCCATTTGGAGGTAGGCCTGCGCTAAGTCAATCTTAGAGAAATGCTGGCCACCGGCCAATGAGGCAAAGATATCCTCTATCCGGGGTAGCGGATACTGGTCTGCTTGGAGCACTGGATTTATGCTGACTTTAAAGTCGCCACAGATGCGTAAAGCACCACTCTTCTTTACAACCGGCACAATGGGTGTG